TTTTGAGTGCCTTAAAATTAGATTTCACCCTCTAAAAATTGGATGGCCTCTATTTAATCTTTGAGACGTCACTTTTTTTAAGGAAATATAGGATGCACTTTACAACTACTTTTTATTTAGGTTAACCTATGGGTTGAAGAGGTCACATAACCCAAATTTGGGTTATAAAACAATTCCTGCATTGAATTTTATGTGAGGAAGTTAATGGACAGTATACTCCCACAGAAGTAGAAATATTTTGGGTCTTTTTCATCCGGCAATCAATTTTTTCTACAAATCAATGCCCCTATATCTCTCTTGCACATGCAATTTTTGTATACTTCAACCGACTTCTCTCACACTCTCGCATGCATTGCCTCTCTCGCTATCGCACATTATCCACATCTCGCTTTTCCCCTATGAATTTTAGTCCCACATCGCCCAATACCAAGGGGTCAAGGGGAAGTAGCGGTTACAGAAAAGGTTGGGGGTGTGGGGGGCTATGTTGGGAACGTGAGCTTGTGCAACAAAGCACATGTGGCAAGGTTTGCTCCTCAATTAAAGATTGGTGTGGGCCACCATATTAAAGATGGGGGTGGGCCACCCAATGTTTTTTACTTAAAAAAATCTCAAATAGGTGATAATTAACAAATAGGAAAAAAAAAAGAGCAATTTACCTATGGACATAGTTTAAGGGGCTTTATTACCATTTGATGACACTTTTCCCATAAATTAGGAGGACCACCCCCGCTGTTTCTTTTGGGACTAAGTTACCCTTGTGTCCGGGAATAACAACACCGGACAGAGGCATGTTATTTCGACAAAAACTGAGGAGCACGGGCTTCTCTCTCTACACAAAAAGAAACCTCTTTCTCTAAAACGCAAAAAGAAGGCTCTCTAAACGCCAAAAAAAAACCAGCAATGATATTCACGACTCATCAGGAGAAAGGAATCACCATCTCTCTCTCTAAGTTTGCTAAATTTTGTACTCTTTCTCTCTGTTTTTGCTTGTGAAATCCCCATGTGCCATGGAACGTGAAGCTCGAGGAAGTTTCCAGCAACCACTTCGACAAAATCCGGCCGTTCTTTTGTTGGATCATGAATACAATCTGGAAAATGGTGATGAAGGAAGTGCTTTGTCCAATCAAGGAAAACAAGATTTTCAAGTGCAAAAGAACTCTTAAGTTGAAAGAATCATCTGAGCAATCACACCAGAAAACCCTAATCCTAGTTCAACAGATCATCCGAGCAATCGCACCAAAAAACCCTAATCCCAGAACTCTATTCACAAAAGGTCGAAAAACAGGTAAACCCTTTGAATGGCAAAAAGTAGCAAACCATGATTGAATCTTTGAACCATTTGCAATTTCATGGTTTGCCTGATCTTCTCTCTAGAAAGTGCCTCAGAAACCCGGGTGCATATTCTTAAATCCCCACACCATTGTTTGTCAACTTAAGTCATTCTCCACTTCATCATCAGGCCATGATACTCTGCAAGCTAATCTTGAAATGCTTCTTCTCCAATTCAGGTTTTGAGTTTAGAGAGAGAGACCTTGATTCAAGAAGAGAGCTCAAAGCTAAAGCCAATACTAGGACTGGGGTTTGTGGTAAAGGATGGAAGTACAAAGACAGGCAATCTCAACATCCTCTTCCTCTCTCTCTTCATTCCCACACCACCAAAACCTCTCCCCCCATTTTCTGAATTCATTCTCAAAAACCCAATGTATTTCTTCCCATCTTATTGTTGTTACTCAGCAACAACATGAATCAATCAGAGCCATGGTTACCAACCGGGACATCAGGTTTCTCTCTCTTCCCCTCTCCTCTTTCCAGTGCCATACCCACACAACAACAGAAAAAGAGAAGTACAGGGTTGGCAAAGGGAGAATAGGAGAGGTACACCAATGAGAAGGAGAGGTTCACCTTAACAACCCAGCTGAGATTGAGGGTCACAGGAAAAAGTCGAGTAGCATTGTTTCCCATTCACAATTTTTGCGGAGAGAATAGGCCCCTGTCCGGTGTTGTTATTGCTGGACAGGAGAGCAATTCAGAGAAAAAAAAATAGCAATTGGTCAAGTTTGTTGTCTTGTAAGGCCCTTCTAAAGATGGGTGTCAAGAAGGTTTACAATTGGTCAAGTTTGTGGTCTTGTAAGGCCCTTCTAAAGATGGGTGTCAAGGTTTGTTGGTTATTGTTAGTGTGGAAGTATTGTGCTATTGCAGGGTCAGGGTTGTTTGCTGCAGAGAGAAGAGTAGGGCACTAATCTTTTAAGGTTGTTTCGCCAATCCATGTATGTTTCCATAAGAGAACTCTATCTCCTCAGTTCACTTCATACCAAATGAGTGGCATAAATAGATGCCAGCAAGTGGAACGAGTTTTTAAAACAGCAGATGAGGCAGCCAGCCTGTGGATTTCATCACGGAAACAGCCCATGATGTCAAGGACGTATTTTTGAATGAGGACATGATAGCACAAGGAAGCGTGAGGTTAGTGAAGAAGCGTCACCACCACTTTCCTAGGAGAGCCTTGTTGGTGATCCTAAGGTTGTAAATACCAAGGCCACCGGCCATCTTGGGTCTGCAGACCTTGTCCCAAGAAGTGAGGGGGGTCTTGTACCTAGAACTGTCTCCAGACCACTCATGAGACTTTTGAGAGTGTTGACGGCAGAAGCCGGTATGAGGAATTGGGACATGGCATAGAGTGGGATAATGGAGAGTGCAGATTTAAAGAGTGTAATACTACTGCTGAGGGGTACGAACCTACCTTTCCAAGAGGCAAGTCTTCTTTGAAATTTTTCTGTGATAGTGCAACAATGAGCTTTCCTAGGTTTCCAACACAAAGGAAGGCGCAGGAACTTAGCAGGACGATTGTCAAGGCCACAACCTAGCCTATCGACAAAAAGAGGAAGTTGATCTTCAGACATGGATGCCAATAGGATTTGGACACACGTTGATTTCCATCAAAAGAACAGCCATATACAGTGAGAATTTTCAAAACTCTAGAAAGCAATGTAATAACTAACTGATCATTATTTAGGAAAGGAAAGCACTGTCTTTGATTTTTGATACGAAGAAATATTTCAAATCTCCTAAGTAACCAACTCAACAAATTCCATGTCCCAACATTTCACCTTTCCCTTTCATGAACAGAGAAATTCTTATAGGCTTACTGCCAGACATGAAAATCAAGAAATACGCCAACCACATCTGTAGGAATATTATAAGCCCATTTATAAGCAAAAGCCCAAAAATCCTGAATGCTCAAGGTCATATCAAGTATGATACTAAAAACTTTGAAGATTATAGGAATTGCCAACTTATCATTATTTAGGCAAATAATGCACTATTTTCTATGTGAAGAGAAGGTTTTCAAGCCCACATCCTAAAAAGAAGGATTCGTACTCCTGGACAACCAACTCAACATCTGTGTTAACTTCTCTGTTTAACCTTGTAACCGTGAGGCTGTCAAACGCTGCGGAGACCACAGAGGTAGTATCGATAGCTCTCAAGTAGGGGTATGGCCTCCCAATCTGCAGTTAACGTCTTCCAATTTTTGTGAAGGACCAAGCGACACAGCAAGTTCAGAGCGCTTTGTGCGAACAGTATATTACATGCTCCACCCAATTCTTTCTTTTTAAGAAATGAATCATATAGGAATGTCAAGTGGCATGAAACATACTGCTATAGGACATAAGTCTGAACATGAAGGAAGAAAATGAAAAAATTCAAGAAACAGATAATGATGTAGAAGGCACAATAAGACATCAGGAACTGAGGGCAATAAGTTTCCAAATGAGAAAGAACCCCACACCCACCACACTCATGTTTTTAACTATGAACTTCCTATGCTCTCTCACCACATGCATCAACGCGTGCATAATTTACTCCCAGTAGAAAACACTAAAAATAGGACACTAGCATCAATGCCAGTATTTGGCATAGGCCACAACATGCATAAAGAATCTGAGTAAGACATTAATAAGCTACAAAGAGATTATCAAAACGATACTGATTAAACAAAAAGATAGATAAAAACATGATCAAAATGGCAAATTGGCTGATTTTTAAATAAAAAGTATGGTAGGTAATTTCTGGAAGTAGCACGACATAATTTATTGAGTGGATAGATCAACCAGTAGCAGAAAACCCCATCAAAATTAAAACCTTTTCTTTCTAGGCTACTCAGCTGTATGCCTCTCAACTTGCAAGACCAGCAACTACCATCCACATACATGCTGGATCAATTAGAGGTAAGAGTTCAAGTATCGAAGTCAGAAAGTGCATCAACTTCATATATGACATCCACTCACAGGGATCCTTCTGAATAACAACAGAAGCGGAAGCTTCAATACATCCACAATTGGTATAACTTTCTGGGAAGGTGAAAGAAATAGGGGAGGCAACAAGACGCAACCATGAAGTGGAAGCTGCTCAAAAGCCAATGTGTTAGCAGAACATCAATAATAGACTACATTGAGCAGGAGCAGAACAAGAGATAAATGCAGAAGCATCAAACAAATGGATTTTCCTTGGTTACAGTATGTTGTGAGGTAGCACCTTTCCTGTGGAGGCATCTCAATAACACCATCCATTGTGAGGAATGGTATATCCTAAGAGGCACACACTTTATAATGTTTGACGAACGCTAGTTGGCCCAACAGCAGTCATTTCAGGATAAAGTCACAATGAACGCACCAATCCCCTTTCCATTATAAAAGAATAAGGAATATATCCGAAAGCCATGGGGCAGGTAGCTAACTAGTTTATTTTGCCTGCTATGGTAATAGAATCATGCACAATTTTATATAGTTTTGAGACATTACTAACATGTGAAAAAGATGACACAGTTCCTCATTATTCTTATCTTTGACTGCATTTTAGACATGTATTGCTCAAATTCAACAAGATTTATACATGCAATAATATGGAAGAGGGACAAAGCAATAAGATATAAGCACGAATAAGGTTCCAAAACTTAGAAAAACCAATCAGGGAAAAGAAAATAAAATTTTATATAGTAAGACCTTAACATAGTCGGGGACCCAATATGTTTGTTTATTGCATTCTAGCAATTGGTCTATAATCTTTTCAACTGCAACATACCTGCAACAGAAGCATTGAAACAGGCAGTCTTTAGACAATATTCTCTTCGGAAAAAGAGTTAGAACAAGGAAAAGTTAATATAATATATGATAAACAGTGATGGAGGGAGAGTGTTGACATAAAATTCAATTGATGACAGTTTAGGTGGCACCCAGTCTTCTCCATCACCATCCAACACAATGGGGCACAGTGATAACCTCATTGTCATAAACTTATTATGACCGCATCGTCATATTGCATAGGCCCCAAAGACAAATCCGCTGTGCAATATGATATTCTCAAACCTCATTAAATCTATTTACCATTTAGTATTACTTCAGAGAAGTGATATCAGCCTATCATTATATCTTTCTCAAGCAGAAATGTGCAGGAAATGCATGATGGGGTTGAAATTCTAAAACACCATGTACCAGCTAGGAACAGCTCTGTAGAGCAGAGGAGTGTCTGATCTCCAACAAAATGGGTAAGAATGCTCGATGCTTCCAGAATTGACAAGCCTCCCTTTTGCCTGTTCAAATATTTTTTTAATAAAAACTCATCAGGATTACATTTAAATATAATAAATAATTATTTTGAATTCTTTGGCTCATAAAACTAGCAATTGAGTGTTACAGGTATAAGCTGGGAAAGAATTTAAAAAAAAAAAGGACTACAAAAGGTTGAAATTGCATGTAGCCATTCAACACCCTGCCTTCACTGCAGCGACAATATCCTTATCAGCATCCTTAACATAACGCCCCTTAAAATCGGTTATTTTATCAATGAAGCACCCATCTCCATCAACTGCAACGACAAGATCATCATCCTGCAGGAACCAGACGAAAATAAAACAAAAAAGTAAGCCCAAAGCGTCCTTTGTCAACTGGTTGAATGAAAATTTCTATAAAAATTAAAAAGTTAAAATGCAAAATCAAGAATACCCAAGAAAAATGGGAGTGATGACAAAGCGGATGACCTCATCTATAATTGCAGATTGAACCACTTCATACTTGAAAAGAAGTAGCAAATGCAAATACTTGACCAAACCTAATCGCAACAACATTAAACTCCCAACTTATCCCCATGAAAACAAAGAAAGGCATTCCATCATACATGAATCTCATAAGCTAGCAATATTCCCACGAAATATCAACAAAATGTTAGAGAGTAGATTTGAACGTATGTTACATGGATTCTTCAACAAGGGTACCCTTGTCGGAGATGTACGGACACATGTACAGGAATGGATTCTTCAAGTTCAAGGATACTGGAAAGAATTTCTCTCTCTGCATTCTTGGAAAGAATAATTGAAAGAATCTCTCTCCCGAAATTTCTACATTCTTCGAGTTCCTCTCTCTCCAATCTCTCTCTACATGTTTGGAAATAGCAAAGACCCGAAACTTCTCTAGTATATCCCTCTTTCCAAAACTAGCTTCCTTTTCACTATAAATGCAAAATAAGAACTTGCTGTTTTGCTATCAATCACATAAATAGGATTAGAATTATGTAATACTAGCCATGCATTCATTAACTAGCACTAGATTTTTCTTTTTTTCAGGGAATTGAGAAAAGGAGGACTTGCTATTTCTTTTTCATACTCTGCATTTATCAACTACATATATATATATATATATATATATAACCGTGTTGCCAAATCCTACTTTTTGGGACTCAAAGAATCGGACACCCCATACCATATCCTACAATGACATACGTACCTGTATCCATGCAACATTATTTAGAACAATACGCCACAGAGAAAGAGATTATAATATACAAGTCAGTCTGGATAAGTTCTAATATGTTCAACATGACAAT